CCGCAAATCTGTCGGGCCAGTGGACGCGACATCCAGATCGTGTGCGGCGAACCGGAGGCGGGGTGTCGCCAGTAGGTGGAGGAGGCATCACTGTTTGCGGCGGAGCGTAGTGTCGGTGTGAGGTATGGTTACTGTCTACGATGTATGCCGGGTTGAGGCGATTAATGTTGACTGTGTCGGTCTTGCCGTTGCGATCGATGACAACATCTTTGTTAGATCGACGAGTAGCCGTCGGACAGCGTCACGCCAAACCAAGACGAAACTGCACGTATCCAAGTCGGGAGGGGCGAAGGAATTGGCCAATGGCGCCCGACGGGATGTTTCGCGAAGATTACGCATGAGATTTCGCAACCGGTCCACATAACCGCAACGTTCAAAAGACATTAGCGTGTCTGAAGAAGATACTAACTTACCAGGCAATAGTAGGGAAGTTCCGTAGACAAGATCAGCTGCAGTGCAACCGATGTCGGCCTTGAGGGTGGAAGAGAGGGACAAAATCAACACAGGAAGATTATCTAACTATCGGGAAGGATCGGACTGGGCCATAAGGGTAATTTTCAGCTGTCGATGGAAACGTTCGACGAGACCATTTGCCTGAGGGTGATATGCTGTTGTTCGAGAAGGGAAGTTATCTCTCGAAACGGGATGGACTAGAACTGGGATCCGCAGTCAGTGGTGGCCGTCGCAGGAACTCCAAAATTAGACATCCAATGAGTCAGAAAAGCTTACGCCATAGCTTCGGCACTGATGTAAGTAATGGGCACAACAACCGGCCACCGAGTAAAGCGACCAAAGCATGTCAGCATATAGACAAAACCTTTAGATGGTGGAAGTGGAGCTACCGGGGCAATATGTACATGAATGAAACGTGCAGCAAGGGTTGCGAAGGCACCTGGTGGGGGTAATAGTGTGCCGATGAATTTTGGCGCGCCGACATGGCAGACAGGATCTGGTCCAACGCTATACATCCCGGTTGATGCTGGGCCAGACGAATCGGTCAGTGATGAGTTTCGTTGTTGCTCAGAATCCCGGGTGGGATAGACTTTGAAGAACGTCGAACACATGTCGCAGCGAAGTTGCTGGGACAAAAGGACGTTCGTGTCCGGTAGAAAAGTCGCACTTTTTGGTGATTGCGCCAGTGAGAAGACGGACATCTTGAAGAGTCCTTGTTGCGGTATTGGGAGAGTTACTAACCCGATCGTCGAGTTTCAGTCATGAGCGTGAATTCGATGATGTTTGTCGGGACGGAATCCATCTCGATGCTTCAGAGAGCATCAGCAACCACATTTTATTCACTATGGGCATGTTGGATGTTGCGGGAAAACTGTGAGATGAAAACTAGATAACGAATCTCATGGGACGAGTATGGATCGGGATAGGCCCTCGGTGCAAAAAAGAGTAGTTTGTGGTCTGTTAGAACAACACATTCGCGACCCTCGCGAAAATGTCGGATTGGTGGACAGCGAGTTCTCGGAAAAAGATACTGTAACGGGTTTCTGCTGGGCTGAGCTTCTTCGAAAAGAGGGTCAATGGCTTTAGAATGTTACTAACAGTTCGCTGAATGGGTGCACCAACGGAAGCGCTGGAAACATCTGTCGTGAGAGTTAGTTGGACATCTGGGCGAGAGTGGACAAGCAGTGTTGCGCTCGCAAGTGTGGCCCTGACGTCATAGACGGACTTGAAGGCCTCCTCAGTCAGCCAACAGGCTGTCGAGTAATTGCAGTAGGGTAGCGCCATGTAAAAGGAAACGGTGAAAATAATTCATCATCCCCAAGGAGCGACGTACTTAGCTGATGGTTGTCGGAAGAGGGCGTGTTGGTGTGGCCTAATCCCTTTCAAGGACGCGTTTTATCCCATCAGAGTTCACTTCATGACCCAGGAAGATTGAGCTGGGGACTTCAAACTTAATTTAACAGCACTGACTACAATGCCGAAGGAGTCGAGTTCTTTGAACAATTTACGGAGATGAGCCTCGTGTTCAGCAGGATCAGAACTCACCACCAGCAAGTCATCAATGTAAACGTAAACGAAGCCGAGACCTTGCAGTACTTGATCAATAAACCGTTGAAAAGTTTCAGTGGAGCCCTTCAGACGAAGGAATTCGAATAACCCAAAGGGAGTGGTAACGGCGGTTTCCGGCACATCACTGGCCTCGATTGGGATTTGGTGGTAAGCATGAATAGGATCAATCTTAGAGAATATCCGCTTACCATGCAGCGAAAGTGTGAAATTTTGGATGTGCGGGACAGGATACTAGTCAGGGCCGTTGCTTCAAAAGGGGTGACGTGAAGGTTTTCAAGGCATTGTTGAACACAATCTTTCCCGACATTCAGTTTACTGTGGAAGAGAAAGTGAACAATTAGTTGTCCTCCTTGGACGCACAAATTACGAAATAGACAGACGGGAAGATAAGCACAACGCTTTACTGTAAGGCGACTAATATAAGGCGCATGCTCCATTTCTGAAGCAACCACCCTGTAAGTCATAAACGCAGTTGTGTCAGAACTTTCTTTCAACGTGTTCAAGCACACTGTAGCGACGACAGTGCGAGGAAGGAGGAGATGAATTACTTACAGGCAGTTGCCTCAAAAAGCCTCATTTTGAACGGTCGAGTGGAGAAAAGCCCAATTTCTGGCTCTCAATACCCTATGTAATGGACGCATCAGAGGCGATGGTGAGAATCCTGAAACCTTTAGGGATTGGCGTGGCTCGTAGACAAGAATGCACCATCTGACGGCAAATCATGAAGTCCAAAGACCCGCTACCAACAACAGAACGGTCAGCAATGGTCTACAGCATACCATGCCTAAATTGTAATGCGAGGTATGTTGGTAAAACGGGCAAACGCCTCGGCACAAGATTGCATGAGTACCAACTTGCAATCAACCGCAAGGACAAGCTGTCTTTGGTCTATGGCCACAAACGAGAACTGAACAACGATTATGCCTTTGAGAAAGCGAAGGTAAATGGTCGAGCCAATGAGAAGATGGCCAGACTGGTGCTCGAAAGTTGGTCCTCGACTGGCACACTCAACCGAGCTATAGATCTACATCCGCCTACCAGGCACTGTGTACGAGGTTCGGATCATTCCGGGCAGGACCAGTTGGGCAAGCGAGCACGCGGGACCGAGAGTCAACGATCACGGAAAAGAATGGGCCGGAGGTCATGTGACCAAAGCCGAACACTGTCTCGCCGATGCGCCCGCGATGCTGAGTGCTGCTCACATGAACAGCAACGACCGATCACTCCACCGGCTGACGTGGAAGAGGGCAACTGGCAGGTTGATTTGACTACAATTACGCTGACCCCAGTGGGGACAAAGGCCACGCAGGCCTGTCAGCGGTCAGCTTCTGGGAGGTCTAAGCCAGTAAGCAGCAAACAGGAAGGTCAAAGTTCGTGCGTCGAGCAGGGCTATAATACGAGGCAAGCGGCAAGACCGGCAGGAGCAACAAGTGCGCTGCTCTGATAATGGAAACTAGGAAGTATCCGAAACGTCAGTTCGAATACAATATGGTCCGTGAATTCGCCCTCTCTTCTTCTTCGTCTTCTTCGGGAGATGATGAACGCGTTACAGTACGTCGTATTTCCCTGAATGAAATGGTCTAAACTCTCCTCTGTCAAGTGCAACTTGGTAGGGAATGCAAGTTTTGTCGGGCAGTGGAGTTTTACTTTTTGTGCTATAAATGGACCGATTTAGAATCACCTATCTATTAATCTCTCGGGTAGTGCTAGAGCCTCCTTCCTTTGTATCTTCTTATTTCAAAGGAGTCACTGGCAAATCCAGGCGCCAACAACCATATTTCCCAAAAATCATCGTTTCACTGAGAACGTATCGGTCGGATGGAAACTGGCAACTGCTGGCTACCCAACCGTCAAATCCTCATCACACTGCCCCTGTCAGGCCAGAAAGCCCGGCAAGTTAATCCAATTTACTATCAATCCCTGGGCAACTAAGTTATGAAAAAGTGTGAGTCATGCCCGGCATGCCGCACCTCAGCAAACGGCCAGCCAGTGACCTTGAGATGCACTACGCGTCAAGTTCGCCCAGTCGTTCGCGCACGCTGTCAAGCCAGGGGCCATCGATCGCATAATTCAAAATACGCGCGGCCAGTCAATAATTCCGAATTTGCTCGGTCAATTAGCCTATGCAGTCCATTCGCACTACATTCACAGCAAGGTTGAGACGTGGACCGCACACCAGACGATGTCCTCATTGCGTCGTGCTTTTATCCTCATCATCATCTCTCTCCTATCGACTGAACTCACTCTTTCTAATAAAGTATCGGAAAATGAGGATAAGGTCAGAGAAAAACTGGAAATCTTGCCAACTTTCAATCAGGGCATGAAAAGCCAACTCTACGACCCGCGCAATAAACGCCTTATGGCGAAAGTGCACTCCGCTCATGTCATTTACACAAAGCAGGAAGTCCATGTGAGGATACAGTATGAAGTACATCTCACTGAATTCTACACGGATTGCTACCTCAACGGTTCGGAAGCTCTGGCTCGCTTCTCCACGTACAACTTGCAGATCAGAAGACGATCGGGAGAATACGAGGCAGATATCCACATTAAGCGGTTACGTGAATTTGGCATTGTTATGCTTTCCTTCCAGTTAAGCTCAAGGTCCCTAACGGATGAACTCATGGTGCAGTATCCGGTTAACTTGCAGGACCGCGATAACAGGGCTGTCACTAGACATTGTCCCAGTCTATTTTTCATCTATCCAAAGATAAATACCCTGCTCATTCACTTGCAGATTGGTGACTATACACCAATGGGCATAAATTGGGAACAAATAGTGATGATGAAGCGTATACACGTAAGAGCAACAGGCGTCTCACTGATTCACCTGCCCCTCTTCGTGATTACCCGCACGCCCTTTACGGTGAAGTTTCTCACCTTGTGGTCCTACCAGAATATCGTTGCCTTCTTCAGTGCGAATGGTTTCCTCCGTCTGGAGAGCTCAACTGTAAGTTCAATGACAGCAAATTTTCCCAAATCAGTACTCGAAACTTTTGATCGACGATGCAAGTCGAGTTGTAGGAAAAGTTCTCAAAGAATAGGCTTCAGAAAAGCCATCTGAGCGCTACTAATGACTTTCGGTTTATTCTGCCATTGAAGAAATCTGTCTAGAATAAGTTCGGTTCTTATTACTAATTTTAATGTTACTTAGCATAGCCTAAACGATCGCCAGTTGTCTCGGCGTTGCCTGAGTGGCCGACAAAGCTAAGTACTCTGTCCATGTGGTCCGCACACAGCCTGGTCTCCATCATGTTTACTAGGCTACAGTGAGGACAACGCAGACCTCACGTCAGTCATAATGACACATTTCAAGGAGGGAGTTGTCCCCTCAAAGTGCTTGTATACACACCATTGTCAGCAGTTAATTAGATAGGTCTTAAGTGGCAACCCCCAGCCTCCCGCATGGACAGAATTTATGCGTCTTGATCCTGCTTCAAGTAGAGGACGTCTATTACTAATAATCTGTGGAAGTATATTTCCTACGATTCACTTACTTCATAAACAGGTTTGCTGAAATCTCCGGACGTTAGATGCTCGCACATGTGGGCCACGTTTGAAGACATTCATAATGACTTCTCATCTGCTTAACATGTTCACAGTAGGAACCAACTTACACCTCCTCTCCTCATTTCTTTCCTAGATGAGCACTGTTGGAGCACAAGAAAGTGGTGGATACACTATTCGCTGGTTCATCCCCGAGAATCAGCACATTATTGACGAGTTCTGTGAAGATCAGTTGCCGAGACTGCCCGTGCGTGCTGGGGCGCCTCTCTTCTTCTATGTTGACCCGGAACAACAGGATCGTTGGTCATTTGACCTGGAGAAGCTGAGCCGTCTAGTTAGTAAGCGGAAGTCATTGAGCCTCTACGTGGCCTGCGTCATGGATGATGTGTTTCAGGATCTGCCTAAGAAGAAGAATTTTGTGGTTGTTGTGAAGAAGAAGATGTTCTACTCCGAGGGTGATGACCTTGGTTTTCTGAGCTACGTCTACAAGGTCAACCTAACCTCGCCCACTCTGAAGAACTTTGACTGCATCACTACGACGACAACCAAAAATGTCCCCTACATACCTCTCGCAAGGATTGACGAGGCTGGCGTCTATCCGCCCATTGCAGGCACCCCCTTGGCTACTCGACTGGTCCTCACACTAACATTCGCCTGCACCAAGCTCGATCGGCAGGTTAGAATAGACGAAGTCTACTTGAAGGGCCCTCAGCCGGCTGCTACGAGAACTGACATACAGGTGGGTAAGGGAGAGATGTGGTCCGTTTGTAAGGTGCCCAGGAAGAACTTTGAGTTCATTCTGCCTGGCTGGAAAAAGGACGACATCTACACCATCACCGCTTCGCTCTCTTCAGGCAGCATTACTATGAAGAAGGCTGTCATTCTGGGACCCTACGACCAACTGACTGTGAAGCCGACTGTCGCTTTTGCAGACCAGACTGTCGAAATTATGTGCTTCCAGGACCTGTTGAAGAAGCTCAGCGCTCCCAATAAACGCTTTGCCACAATGTTCGCTCCCAGTGCCGTTGAGTACCTCCTCCTGGAGGGCCTCAACCAGACAGACTACATAACCCTCCTAAGTTTCACGCCTAAGGAGAGGTACGTCCTGAAGACTGCGAACATAGACTCCTCAGTGGTGATTGTGAACGTCAATGACACCAGCAGCGCTTACATTCACCTGCGTGCTCTCGCTCGACATCTGACCAAATTCTCGGGCTTTCGTTGTCGCCTGAAAATGAAGAACGTGTTTAATCAGGAGTACAGTGTGATAAATCGTGAACCCGTCTGTTTTGCTTTGCGTCCGTCACGCATCCGAATTGCCATCGAGGACGTCTTCTTGCCAAAGGTGTCCAATGAGGTGGTTAATGACATCACTCGCGTGCAGAAACACCAATTGTCTTGTGTGCGACCGGGTCAAGATCTAGAAATTTCCTGTATGCAGAGCTCTGTCCTTGTGGAGTGCGCGCATTGTCCGAGAATGGAAGCGCATTTTGATGTTGCCATCTCAGTGTTGGCTGACTTGGTCCAAATCAACACTACTCGAGAATTTGAACCCATAATTGACAGCAGCGGCAGGGCCAATGTGCTACTGAAGAAGATGACAACGAATTGGCACAGAGCTCTAATCGTCTGCAGGCAGACTCTCTACACCAAACGCACGACTCTGGAAGAGAAGAAGAGCGTCGTTAACGTCCAATTCTCAGCCACAGCGAGACTGTGTATTAGTAGACTGAGCTTCACCTTCTACACGCTGCATGACGGTTTCAGTTGGGAAAAGGGTCTGTTGACAACAGTGGAGCGGGCGAAGAGGTTGGCGAAGTCGGAAGAACTAAGAACGGATAAAATGCACGATTTACTCGAACTATCCGCTATCCTCTGCGTGGTTAATAACAACTTCAGCGTGTATGACACGAAGATGTATGTTCAGTCCGGTGTCGAGAACTTCAATGCCTCTTTATTTGGAATGGAAAATGCCAGTCTTTTGGTTTTGCCCAAATTCACTCCAGATCTGCTGCATCAACCCATCAAAGTAACCTGTGGGACCACTCGCACTTTCTCCCGCATACCTGCTCTATCCGAGGTTGGTCATCCGTGCTTACGATGTGAATGATTAACAATTTCCCAGGTCATATGGAAAGTCAGATCAGCAGTCCACAATTGCAATGTTGCAATTGATGATGTCCAGCGGGTGCCTCACGTAGTCGGATCGGCACCGTAGCATGAATTTGTTTCGTAATGATAGCACACTTAGGTGGCATATACGACATTCTCTCCTCTCAAGCCATATTGCCCCAATGGCTAGGCAGTGCCAAGACGATTTCAGGTATGCGTGACTAACAACCAGGGGAAAGTTATTGCCGACAATGCCAAGGGAGACTGGAATGGCCATTTCTGGCTTATTAGCCATCGTCAGACAGTCATAGCCGACCCCGAAGCGTTGAACACATGGGGCTTGAACCCGCGACCTGTTAGTTAGAAGTCCAACGCCTCTAACTGCAGGCCCGGCCACGGGCGTTGGACTTCTAACTAACAGGTCGCGAGTTTGAGCCACAGGTTTTCAACACTTCGGGGTAGGCTAGGACTGGCTGCAATGGCTCATAAGCCAGAAATGGCCATTCTAGTCTCCCTTGTCTTTGTCGGCAATGACATTCCGTCCATATCATGCGACGCTGTGCGGCTGCCGGTTGGGCTCGAGAGCGAGCCGTAAGGCACGACGGAACGAGTGAGTTCCGTAAGAACGATCGGTGAGCGCCCCTCTGCCAAAATTGGGAATATTTTGTCAAGATTCGGATACCGCGACAACGTCCTAGATGTTTAGCGCTTTGTAAAATCCTTGAGATCTCCGTTCTATTCGGCGATTTAAACTGGCTCAGAGCATTACAATGCATAGAGCAAGGAAGCCATAGCTCGAAGTATACACTCTGAGCTATAAGAAGTCATCTGAAAAGGCAATTAGAAGAGTAGGGTGACGCTAGCGTGCAACATATAAGAGTAGGGATTAGGTGAGTCCACTTAGCGTAGCCTCGCGATCTGGCTTGCACAATTCGGTTGTTTGTCACTCACTCACATGAACGTTCCTTCAAGATAGTTGGAGTCCTCCACGACCTTGAGACGACAATCGTTAAATGATTGTCGTCCTATGATCAGTGATGTAGCGAATGCTCCTGGGATGATGTTGAGGACAAATAGCCGGCGTCTAGATGCAAGTTCGGGATATTTGGAAGTCTGTGAATCCTCACGAGAACGCATTCTTTGTTGTAAGTGAATACGATCGATGTCAATATCCTCACCCAAAGTGTAACGGCTGTGAAAGGTGGGTATTGGTAAACTCAAAACACGAAAGATGTAGTGGATATTTTGGTCACGGCAAACACTATGGAGGTATAACGTCTTACACTATACTCCTAAGCAAGTAGTAGTTGTTGCCGCTTATCGTAGGGCAATAAATAGTCAACGGTGACTCCCAGCCACAGAGGAATGTTAATGCATCCATGTCCAACTCGAAAAGATGACCGATTGATCCTAGATGTTACACCACGCAGAACATAGTGAAGTCGTCTGAGAATGAAAATTTAGAAGACCCATGCAACGACCCTGATAAGACTTGTTTCACTGTAGATTTCGAGTCCTGTTTTCCTTTCCCTGTCCTGATGAGCCTCACAATGTTTCCTTATTTCATGACTGACCGTGTACATCTCACTTTCACTCACATAGGAATGCATGCATGTTTGATTAAGCAGACTCAGTTCGGCTAAACCATATTTCTGACTGTTCTAGTTACCCTACTTCCTTTTGTTCGTAGGGATAATTCACACTTGAAATGTGTTACCTAATCCATGCAGTGTTAAAATTAACAGATGATTGCTTTACACTCACAAACCGACACCTACGCGTGGATCCACTGCCCATCACAATAAATAACTCATTTGGGAGAATTAAAATCATAAAGGAAACGCAAGCATGTTGTCTGCAATTGCGGGTGAAGTTCTCTCTGCAGCGGAGCTTAAGGCACAAATTTTATCGTAAATAAAATGAACATCCACAAGAAAAGTTACCAAACAATGTGCCTTATACGATGCCCTTTTCAAGCAGTGATTTCATACTGCATTCAGCTGACGGATGTCAGTGTACTTTGTATTTTTGCACGTTGTAGCCAAGAAAATTTATGGTCGTTTCTTTCACGTTGCCAGAAAATACTGATAGTTTTCTACTGCAAACGTAAGAAAATGCCTTCCTCTTTATTTTGAGGACATTTGCACTGTTTCTGCTCACTTTTTGGCTCTGTTCTGCGACTATGAATGCACTATGCATGATATTTTGTTGAAACTGTTAATATTTCACACGTCTCATTTCTAAATTAGACATGTACAGAAGCTAGTCCGCGCGAAAGGTAATGTTCCATGTGGCTGAAATCGAAAAATGACAATTTGGTGGTAGTCACTTTTGTGACAAAACATAGCATTTTCCAAATGCCAAAGAGTTTGGCTGTGTGGCTTATTTAGGCTGCCGAATCGCACTAAACTTGTAATCTCACTTCAAAAAATCGATAGAACTTCCGCTTCAAGAACGCTAACCTGCGTGCTAACAAGCTGATTCCCACGATTTGCATCGCACAAACGATCAATTCCCGAGTGCGGCAGGCTCCGTCTACTGAGACTCTCGAGATTTAATTACTCACCTGTCGAAGAAAAGCACGCTCAGATGCGTAGTCGAAGTCTAGGACAGGTATTAGCATCGGGGATTGCCTGAATATACACGGCACCGTCAATTTCCGCTCAAATTCATGAACATTTTGCTTGTTACTATTACGTGGACACATTGCATACAGAAGAAAAGGACATGTCATTGAAGAGGCTGGACGAGCGAGCAAAAATGCGTCATGTTTAAGCTGTCTGACAGCTCACACATCAGTTTCTTGGGAGAGAGAGGTCACGTTCTTCTGGTGAAAAGGTCTGAACAGGTAGGATAAGACTGAGATCTCCAGTACTGGGCGACTAGCCATCGCCAGCCAGCCCTGTCCAGCACTAGGTTTGAGGAAACACCTGAGGCTCGAACACGCGCTCCTTTGACCAATAGTGCAATGCTCTAAACTTTTAGCCACGCACTCTTTTCACCGTGATTTGGAGCTACTGGTGCCACTGAACCTCAGTCGGGGTAAGGCTCGCTGAAGACGATTGATATACCAGAAATGACCATCCGAACTCTGGCAGTGTTGCGTTGGTCCAAATTACAAGCATTTAGGGAATTTCCATTCGTGTCATTTAGGAAACCGGCATGTGTGGGGCGCAAGGTTTTGAAGTTGTGACCTGTGGGCTTTTCGTCGTACATGTTAAATATATCCTTGATGCGGAGATCTGGCATTCGAAGGTTTCCGTCTTTATGGGCTCGTAAGAATGACGCGCGTAATGTGCGAACAGATATCTGATAAACCAATTCGTCTACGCATATTCACAGTCACCATGCTTTAGTTCCATCCTTGAAGCAGCGACTGATGGGAGCATGTCTACCACTATTTCATAATCGACGCACAAATTCAAGTGCCTCTCACAATCCTTTAGTTCTGTCAAGATCTTTGGCCGAACTACACAGGAAGTGGCGTTCAATGAAATGCCCCTCTTGTCAGATAGATCCCAGAGCCTGACAGAAGGCAACCCACAAATGGCGATGTGAATAACAGGTCCGCCAGATATCTTTAATCGATCTTTCCCTCCTCTGCCTTACTCTAGCCACTACGATTCGTTGTCGTCCAGCGAACTTTCCAGAAGGGCAGTCAGTATTCCGAATTCATCCTCCTGATGCAGATGGTATGCACCAGCCTGCTGATTGGCTTCATCATCGCTATCGCTTGTCCCCTCTTCAGCATGATCGCCGATCAGCGGTATGAGAGGAGGCAGTTGGAGAAGAGACGAGAAAAGCAGAAGGCCATTGAAAGCCTCCTCAATTTGAAGCTGGAGGTGGAGAAGGAGGCGGGGGCGGGGACGGGGGCGAAGGCGGATGCAGGAGCCAAAACGACGACGACGGCGGCGGCGGCAGGAGCAAGAGACGGCGGCGGCGGCGGTGGGACAGGCGAGGCTAGTGCCAGTATCGGCGAGGGGACGACGCCAAGACGCCCTGTTGATAGGCGAGTGCGTTCCGCGCGTCAGTCATTGGCCATTCTGAACGACCTGATGCGGGCCCAGGCCATGAAGAGGGCCAGTCAGTACTCACTGCCTCTGGGTGACAGTTTCTCCCGAGGCCGATCTGCAGGGACCAGCAGTAAGGACGCGGAGGCAAGCGAAGGACCTGAAACGTCGGAGGCAGGCGGTGGAAAGACGAGAAGGGCAGAGATGAGGAAACGGACTCAATCTGCCGCCAGGTCTGCCAGCGACTCTCGTACTCAGACACACAAGAAATCTAAGTCTGCCACGCCCCGCGCAACAACTTTGCGTGTTACACGACCCACCCACAGAAGCACGTTCGATTAGATGGTCCGATCCCTGGACGTGGACATAGTTGGCTTTTGCTATGTTAACAGTTTTTACTAGTTTTCGTCAACGTTTATTGTTTGCCTTGTTTGCTATTTCTGGGGAAACCGCGATGTTGCGGGAGATGCGACTGATGGAACGTCTTGCCTCCTCCTCATTAATTTCTGTCATCGAGGGTGCAAATCTACCCCTAGGCGTACCACCACACCTCCTCGTCCACAACAAACACTTGACCATGTTATTAACCAACAACAACAACAACAACAACAACAACAACAACAACAACAACAACAACAACAACAACAGCACCACAACGGCACCAAAAACGACGAGGATGAATAGGTAGACGTGCTCACGACCTGTATATTCAGTGGGAGCACGAACGCATCTACCAGCAGATATCTAGGTGCCAGAGAACGGTCGGCACCCACCAAGCTCTGAGGGTCATGGTTTGCTGTTTATGGCATAGTAGATGCTCGCGTAACTTGAGGCCCTTATGCCCAGACGGGTGACATGTGGCCCCGCATTTAGCCTGAGCCATCACCCCTCAGAGGCTGGGTACCCAGTTAACTGTGGACTGAGGGACACCAATCACAAAGCACACACACACACTACTTACATGTGTCAGAGTGTTCAAAGGTCACCTTGAGGGGGTGTCGTTGCAACCTGCCTCCCAGCCCACCAATCCGCAACTCCGCACAAACACACGCAGTTGGACGGACTGCGTGGAGTGGGTTTGGGCGTCAGTCGACGGCCCTCTAAGCTACAGCGCTTGGTGCAGCGTGATAAACTCAGACTCTGATGCATTCGCAGGTGACCGACTAGCCCCGTGTGTGAGGTGAATGTGCGATCGAACTGAGGATAGGTCTGGATCGAGTCCACATTGCCGGTGTTGGCGGTTGTGAGGTAGATGCTTGTTGGTGCGCCAGAGTCGTGCGCAGTGGCGTTGGGGGCATGAGGCATGAAAGCAGTTGTTTGGTCTGTGGAGAATGGCAATGGAAGTTCAGGAACACGAATTGGATTAATTGTCCACGTGGGGAGTGAGACGGGCGTGAACGAGGAGATGTCAGCTGGTGTGGTCGGGGTGCGGCATTTGGCTCGAAGATGCCCAATAAAACTGATTGGTGCCTGAAACGTCCACTGACATTGCGGGCATGTCAGAGCCGGCTGAGTGTTGGCAATGCGAGGTGGGGGCAGCTGCAATTTGCGAGCCTCTCGTTTAGCTTTGCCGACGGTTACACGGTCACCTTCGTAGACTGTTGAGTTTGTGTTCTCTGTCCTACTCCATACTGGTTGGTCCCGGACGAGGTCTTGCCATTTGGTCGGGTTGATCTGCAGACGTTTCATGGATGTCTTCAGAGTTTCCTTGTAGCACCGGACTGGACTTCCCTGTCGACGGGAACCAGTGGCGGCATCTCCATGGAAGAGTCGTTTGTGTAACGGCTAGACGCGCAGTCGCATCATGTGGTCACGCCAGCGCAGCTGCAGTTGTTCCAGCATTGCGTGGACGCTGAGGCTTCCTGTCTGTTCTAGTATGTCCGCGTCAGGGATCCGGTCCTGGAACCTCGGCTTTAGTGTCTGCCGAAGACAGCTGAGGTGAGAGTGGTTGAGTCGGCGTGCCTGCTTCGCGTACATCGTCCAAGTCTCCGCTCCGTACAGCACCCTCTGGAGGATGACGGCCTTGTACGTCTTCAGGTTCGTGCTCAGTTGGAGGCCATGACGATTCCAAAGTGTGCATTGAGTGCGACCGGAGGCTTGACTGGACTGCGAAATCTTGCGGGCGATTTCGTCATCGATTTTGATGCTACGGGAGAGGGTACTGCCCAGGTACGGGAAGTTCTCCACCACGGTGCAGTTGGGTTCCGTTCATGCTGATTTGCGGCGGCGGCGGCGCGTTGGGGGGAGGGGATGTGTTAGGTGGCGGTTGATGCATGACCACCATCTTCTGCGTGCTGATGACCAGACCGAAGATCTCGCAGGCGGCGGAGAATAGGTGCCTGCTTCTTTGCATGTGCTCTTCCGAGGTGGTGTTGAGGGCGCAGTCGTCGGCCTCAGTCATCAGGAGAAACTTCGTCTCTCCACGCTCGTTCAATCACCTCATGGAGCCAGGGCACCAGAGTGCCGACAAAATACTTGTAGGTTTCAGTGGGTATACCGCCCTCTCCGGGTGCCTTATTGTTGCACAACTTTCGTATGGTAT